TAAAGAGAATTTTTATTCTTAATTTATTTTTAATAAAGTGAATCTACTTAGAAGATACTTATTATTAAATTTTCATTGTTTATTATTAGAAATTATTATTAGGTTAAAGAATAAAAAGTAAAAAATATTCTGTTGTTAATATCAGTTCATAGATTTGTTCTTGCACGTACGTAATCACATGCAGATTCCGGAGATAGCGCGATATCAATCTAACAGTGAGATAAAGTGAAGATTGCATGTTTCGAGCGTTGGAATGTTCTTTGATCTTGCCGAGAAACTTGTATCATGCATTACTGTCTTCACATCACTACAAGCTTTTTTGTGTACTATACTATTGTCATTATAGATATTATTTTGTTCAATAGCTCTTGCATATAAAAATTGTTGTTTAAATAAAATTTCAAATTGAAAACATATATCAAATATGTCTAAATCAAAGCGATATCTGTCTTAATACTTTATAACTTCTACGTTGTTATAACAATACTTTATGATTTCTATGTTGTTATTAAATTTAAAAAATAAAACAAATCTTAAATATATGTGAGAAATACAGATTTTTAAAAATTTTAATTAATATATTATATTATAATTAACTTGATAATAAAACATATATTCAAATATTCGTATAATTGTATTGTTGTAATTTTTTCGATATAAATATTCAAGAATAAGAGTGAATTGTGAAAATATCAAAACATGAAAAGGCTGGTAATGCGCGTATAAATGGCGGAACGATGCTGAATACACATCACATTGACGATTTTAATATCCGCGAATGATAAACAAAGTGGTATCTAACGAAGTGGGATAGAGGTACACCGTAATAAAATTTGCGTTGTGCTCCGTCGTGACCGAGTCGGGGAAAACATTACGAGCGGTTTTCTCCGATTTCAATTACCCCGGGCAACTGGTGTACATGAATGTCCGTTTGAGTAAAAACGCGAAAGGCCGAGGGAAACGTCAAGAGTCGCTTTGCAATACCAATTTGTCATTCGGCCGCCGAGAATATTGAAATCTGCTTCGCCATATTTCTGAATATCTTGAAATACTCCAACAAAATTGCACTTTTTTGGAATATTTATATGAATAACGTCATTCCATAATTCCGAATATTTAATACTTGTCTAGGCACACTTACATGCCATTAAAATATATAAAATTTACAAAACTTATTTATTAATATTTATGTAAAATGTAATTTATTTTTGGCAAAATATATAATTTATTATTTATTCTTTCTCTCTTTGCATTTTGTCAATCAACAATCTGTCACTGCGTAAGAAAATTGTAATTTAATTATTATAATTATAGACATTTTATTATTATAAATTTACTTACACAATAATGCTTGCAATTATATTTCATAAAAGTAATAGATTATTAGCTTACAATATATTTGAACCGCCCACAAGAATTTGCATACCAGTTAAAGGCAAGCAATGTAATTCGGTCGTTTTACCAAAGTGCTCATGCGTTTATATGAATCTCGTTCGTCAAAGAAGAGGGTTCACGATTAAAACTGCGGTTAATCCCATCCACCCACCTCTGTTCTCTCGTAACGGCCGCTCTTTACCGTTGCTTGGTTTTATTCCACTAAAAACCACCCGCGAATGAAGGACGCAGAATATAACGTAGAGAAGGAGGAAACGATTCAGTGAGAGGAGGAAAAAGATAAAAAGAGCAACAAATATAAGCAGAGGGATAGTAACAGGCAAAGCAAAGGGAGAACTTGAAAGGGAAGAGACGCAGAGAGAAAGAAGAGAGACTAGATGAGGGCCATGAGGATATTATAAAAGGGATTTTTTTTATTACTATTTTTACATACAAGAAATAAAATAATGTAATAATTTGACAAAGCAAGAAATAAATAAATAGAACGATTATATCATTATTTAGAAAATGATTCTAGATATATCTTACATTCTATAAATCTATATTTTTATTTTGCGCATTCAATCTTAAGTAATAATGCAATTGTGACAATATAAGACAAATATATTTTATTGTCAGATAATCCAAAAATGTGATAAAATAATTTTATATAAAAAGAATCTATACTAATGAAACACGCGTATCATATATAAAGTAATGCGTGAAAAACTGTGCATATAAATGTAGTGATTTAGACAGAAAGATAAATATATGGAAAGTGCGATAAAGCAGATAGCAAGGCGGATAGATAGACGGACAGAGAGAGGGTGGTTAACGAGATAGAGAGATAGAGAGAGAACAAGCGAGTTTACTGGGGCTAGGGTGAGACCCCACAAAGGCAGTGGGGCTCTTTTGATTCGCGAGCTAATTGGAATGCCGCGGATGCCAACGACGATGAAGCAGGGGTTGGGATACCCTCCGTCGAAAGGTGGGGGTTGCAGGGCTCTTGGAAGTCCTGCTGTAACCGAGGGATAGGCGGAGCTTACATCTCGCACAGGGTTGTAGCGCGAGATATCGAAGCTCATCTCGCCTTCATTCTTCCTTTTCGTCTCGTGACGATTTCGATCTCATCATATAGCTTTATTTAAGCATGAATTTCTTTATACGATGATTTATCGGTTTCTAGGAAAATTTTGTAACTTATAAATTTATCAGAAAAAAGAAGAAGAAAAGATATGAGAAAATTAAATAATTATAAAATTTTATTTTTTATTTTTCCATATTTTTTAACTTCAACTTATTTTTAGAGATATCTTTATATAATTTTGAAAATAATATAATTTATATAATTTTTTAAAACAATACTTACACAATATAAAAAATTTCAAACTTAAAATTTTTGTATTATCTCAAAGATTTATAAACAAAAAATAAATAAGATAAAATCACGCGCTATCTTCTTCGATTATAATAGAAAAAGATTATGAGGTAACTTTATCATTATTTTTAAATTAAACTTAATTAATTTAGTTTAATTAAAAAAATAATTAAAGTAAAATCTCATTTAATCTATGTATATATTTATAACACATGAAAATCTATGATTTATGACCAATAATGACTTTTAAAATATACATGATGATGTAAATGACGAAGAGTTGTAATAATTATATTAATTGATTTAGGAAATATTAATTGATTTAAATAAAATTTGTGAAATGGTATATTACGAATTGATTGATATCTTCCCTCGTATCTTCGTAATGGTAAAGTCTACATGATTGTGCGTCAAGAGCTTTTTGTGACGCTTTGACACGGGTCGTATGCTAATTTATCACGACGACAATGAGGCTTTCGCGTAACGAGCGAATATTAGTTACTAACCATCACCCATGTCAGATTTTTACATAAAAGAATAATATGCGTGATTCAATTTATATGTGCATTAATAGTCTTTCATTTTTTTTAACAATATTATTTTTGAAAATTATATTTGATATACTCAAGAATTATTAAAAATTATATTTGGCATACTCAAGAATTATTAAAAATTAAAAAATCTATCTATCAATACCTATGTAAATTACCATGTTTCTGTTTGTACCACTTTCCATATTTTCCATACCATACTTTCTTCATAAATTCTTTTTTTAAAGAAGGATAATAACTTTTTATAGCACAAAACATGCTATAAACAAACATCAAATATTGATATCTTCATATAGCGTCACATTGTACAAAATATTTATTTTATAAAAATCTGAATCTGCTATTACTGTATCTCTTTTACAATAAATAATGTTTACTTTTATTGTGTTGATGTAATAAAGATATTAAATTTAATTGAACAAAACAATCTTGCAACGTTTTGTTAAAGTGCGTCACAGTTTCTGAACGTTATTAATGTATAATATTTAAACAAAAGCTTCAGAGTTTTTCTTTGTACTCGGCTAGTAACCACATAAAAAGCTTACTTCCTCTTCCGACTTTGACCACCAGTAAAAATTGTTTTAAAACTTGTATAAGATATGATAGTGATTCTTTTTGTTCGTATTATCTGAGAAACTTGAGATATCTCATCCATGTTTCATAATTACAAAAAGTTTAAATAAACTCACGTTTATCTGTTTTTCTTGGCAGTATTAAATTATTGTCGGACGATATTTTTTGTGCTACTAATTATTTTATTTCTTAATGTAAAATGTTATAGTTATAATTTTATTAAATAATTATTGCGAATTAGTATGAATATTAATTTAGAGGTATGGATATTAATTTGGGGTCACATAATTAAACAGACTATTTATGTTTAATGTACAATTTGAGAGTTTATTCTCCATTTGACATGTACGCGTACGTCTATCGTATAGTTAATTATATTATAGTATCACATATTTACAGTTAATTTTTTTGTGCGCCAGTGCCAAAAAACGTAAAATAACATTTACCTCTTTGTAATTAAAATGAGAAAGAAGATGTTACTTTGACGTTAGAGCTTTATTGGCTTTATTCAATTTGTATATATGTATGTACATTGCGAAACTAATTTTTCATGCCCTCATAGCATAAATTTTTATCATACTACATAGAATACATCTACACGATTCGAAAGACAGTTACAAAAATATATATTGGACAACCGGTAGAAGGGAAATGACTGAGAATAGAAGCATTATTGTTAGCGTTTGTGATTGTTGAAAGATGCAATCTGTGATTTACATCCTTTCTTGAGTCTATTATCAACTTTGGATAATTTTATTTTTTATCAGACTCTTTGGTTTTTAAATTATCTAACATTATGATTCAATGAAATATAGTCTCAAAGCAACATTATTCACATTTAGAAAATTTTGCTGTAAATATCTCTTTCTTCTCGTAAAGCACAATAAGATATTTAACATCTTTCTTAATAATTTATCGGAATTAGTTCTCAATGTCACATATTATAATATGCAGCGAGTTACTCCTAAAAATTATTTCGAAAGTTTCATTTTAATAACTGCATAACTACAAGAAATAAGTTTCGATTTTCTGAATATATATTCTTGACAATTTATCTAGAGAGAAATTTTATCTGTAAAACATCAGTTTTCTTTTATAAAAGTGACAAAATCAGAGAGGAACGATTCAAGCATAATGAACAGACATTCTGGTTGCACCCTGTGCTGTCTGCGCAGAGTGTCTGGTCCTATCACGCAAAATATTTGGTGTCTCTTTGGTATATTTAGATGATATCCGTGCGAATTTATGCGACAATTCGTCCATTGGATGTTTTCCTTCCAATGTTTCGTACATTGGTATACTAGAGTCCTTCGAACGTCGTGTTTTCATCGAGTATAAAGCCGGTGATGGAATTTCACAAGGCCCCATGTTTTCTACATCGTGGTATTTCGGCTTACAATACCCGCACCAGGATTTATTAAGGATCTCAGCATCATCGCCTGAAATGGATGATAATATTATTAATGAAGATATTACAGTTTTTTGTCGGATAATATTTATATCAAAATCTATATGATAGAATCGAATAAATTAAATTTAAAATTAATTAATTAGAAGAAATAATTATTAAAACATTTATTATTATAAATAATAAGAAATGTGCAATTATTTTAATTTTTTAATTTACAGAACTATCGTTAATTACGTTTTGAATAAGGATTAACTTTTTTCAATATTAGAACCATTTTGCAAATCTCACTTACCAAAATGCCTTCTAGTCGAGAAATTAGGACTATCTTGGAATCTACAATTATTCTTTTTGGAGATTGATGGATTTTTAATCGAAACGTTTCCACAACGGCTACATTTTCTCCTATCAACAATTTCTGCTTCCGTAAAGGACTTTATTTCTGGTCTCGTCTGACCTCGGCGGCTTGACTGCATTGGCGAGATCATTGTGTCATATCGATTGGAATTTCTCTGTGGAATCCAATTTTGATGATAATCCACTGATGATTTTCGAGGAGGATTTTTCAACGCTTGAGCTGTATACAGATCTTCCTCGGACAATGCTTCATGGATATCACGATCAGGTATGTTGCGGTAATACCTAATCACATAGGCACTTGGCAGAAAATTGTCGTATCGATGATAAAATGTACATGATTAAAATGAATATCGAGCCGAAAGCATAATGTAGATAATGTATCATGAAGCTATTTAATTACTGCGTATAATGTGCGTTTATGCCTCTAATTTCTGATTCATGCTACTTTGTCATGTATAATTCATTTAGTTCTCCATTAGCTTTGAATGGACCATCCATTATAACTATAGTATACTATAATACGATTAAACTAATATTAACTAAAAAATAACTAAAATAAATCAAATATAATTTTTACTAGATTTTCTAGAAAACAAAAAGAAATATAATAATATATATATATTTGCATAAATTTTTAACCTTTCAACAAATCTTTCAAAAAAATTACAATAAAACTTGTTTTCTCTGGTAAAGATGTTAGACATTTGTTTACTAGATTAAATATTTTTTAAACAATGTTTGATGTATATATTTTTACAGATTTATATTACAAACCTTATTGGCAAAGGATGAGCTTGATACAATTTTGGCGAATATTGAGCATAACGAATTTTATGCGGATTTTGTTGTTGGTTTATTTGCATTCGTTGCTGTGTTCGCAGCAAAGCATCTTTCTTAACTGTATTTCGTTGCATCACGTGTGGTTCGGCAGGTGCATCAGATTCTTCATCTATCTCATCATCTGCTTCCTGTTCATCATACTCCTTATCGAGAGACTCTCCGATTCTCTCTTGATCGTTTTCTGCTGTAGTAATATATTTTGATTTGATAAACTACAGTCGCGAAAAAAATGGTTATGTATTTTTTTCTACGCTTTTGAATCATGTGTAATTATTTTATAAATAAATATGCTATGTTTTTGTGCATATATAATTAGAAAAGTTTATTTTTCAATGTTTACTGGCTTTTATGACTTTTTTATGTTCACATAATATATGCGCGAAAATAATTAAAATAATTTATGATAGTTTCCTATATTCTTCTATGTTTGAACTATATAAATATATATATATATTTAAATTTATCAATTATTATTCTCTTAATATTTTATTTTTCGTAAGATACTTGAGTTTTATATGAAGATCTTAACTGCATTTACACTTCATACCTTCTTCTTCAACTTCATCTTCTATATTATCTTCTGTAAAATTTCCTAATTCTTCGTCGATGTATTCTACATTGCTCTCATCTTCCTGCCGAGTCTTATACCGATCTTTGTCTATCACAGCAACGTTATTAGCATAATCTTTATTTCTATCAGATTTCATAGTATTTTGTTGAAATCGTTGCGGTGCTTCCGTAACAGCAGAAGGATATTTTAAATGCATCGAACGTGGATAAGTATTAATCTTATAGGAATTTGCAGAGGAATAATAGCTCACCGTTGGTTCTGACATGAGATTCTGATGACGTCTAAAAATGGAACCATTTTTTAATTATGTTTATAAGGTATTATTATGCATTCGTCGAACACAGAATGAATTTGTTCTTTAACATTTAACATATATAACAAAGTTATGACTTTTAAGATTTTTTATAATTTTAGATAAATCTTTCGAATATAATAATATAAAAACATGTTACCAAAATTTTTGATAAAGATTTTTTAAGTATGCATATAAAATTATATGTACTATTTGCGCTTCTTCTCAGTTAAAAGAAATCAGTTTAAAAAAATTTGTTATTTATTAAAAATTATTAGTGTTAAAATTACCTAGTGTTTTTATCAGTTGTATCTTGATTGGTTCTTTGTGTATATTTCCAATATGCATCAGGTGGAATTCTCACATCAGTAGTTTGTTTAGTAGACCACGTAGATGTTTGTGGTGAAGTGTACTTTGTCTTACTTCTTCCAATTTGTTCCATTTTTATCAGATAGTTTGTATAGATTTAAACGTTGTCAAAAAATGTGTTGAATCTTTTTATTATGCTTCCCAGTTCATCTTCATTAAATGTTGTTCCTTATGGATCATTATATTCCTATTTACACTATTCTCTCTCTCTCTCTCTCTCTCTCTCTCTCTCTCTCTCTCTCTCTTTCTCTCTCTCTCTCTCTCTCCCTCTCTCTCACTCTCTCTTTGGCACAAATATTTTATTAACATTTAATGTGTTCTTTAAAATATTTTAAATTTAAGTTCGATTTGCACACCGTACAATAAAATACGCAGTTACTAAATACTTTTACGATTTGTTGAAAACACAAGGTGGCTCATCAATTTAACTTGAAAATTTTAAGTTAAAAGATATGGAAAAAACGAATATAGGAAGCTTACTTTGGCACTATCAAGATTTTGCCGTACACAAATCTTTGTCACGTTTCGTAATTCATACAATTGCTTCAAAGAAGTCTGTTCGAAGTTTTGCAGTATGATATCAAGGATTGGCAAGTATAAGAATGAAGAAAGAATGACACAATGTAGACACTTGGCAGGAAGTTATCAAAAACAGTATTTCTTCAAGAAGATTGACAAGTACACGTTCAAAGTCTCGGTCTCTAAATCAGTGTAGAGTGATCTCTCGGTTTCCTAATACGATGAAATAAAAGAGATGGAACGATTGCGTAGTTAAGAAAAAAGAAACAAAGTGTGACACGATAAAGAAACGCGTAGATGATAAATTCCTGTTTCACCATTTGTCAGTCTCGTTGCTATCCTCGTGTTCTAAAGAGGTGTTCAAAGTGCGTTGAAATTCATGTACTCTCTGGCTCTGTTGTTCGTGGTGCAACTTTCGCCACTTGATACGGCGATTCTGAAACCAAACTTTAACTTGGGCCTCGGTCAGTCGAAGTGCGTGAGCCAGGTACAATCTTTCAGGGCCCACCATATATTGCTGACGTGCGAACTCCCCTTCCAGACGCTCTAATTGTTCTGCCGTGAAAATCGTTCGCACCCTCTTTACTTTTCCTCCCCCACTAGAACCAGAACTCGAACTGCTGTTTTTTGTTGTGCCTTCTTGGCCTAAAAAGATGGCAAATATGGCGTAAAAAAAAAACACACTAAATATTAAGAATATCTTTAATATAAAGTCGCTTAAAAAATAATGTTAAAATTACTAAAAACTTTATAAAAGATATAAAATATATATACATATTAGAAATAATTATACTATTTTGTGATAAGGTTAAATTTTATATATCAATTGAAGCTTATTCTAATACATGTAATAAAAGATTGTAAAAGATAATTCTATAGCGGTAAATATATACATATGATACCTTAAATTCCAAATTAAGAGATTTTGAATATTATTGCTTTAATGTAAAAAATTTAAATATTTGACATTTACCTTCTAGTGAAAACTAAAATTTATCTGAAGTCAGTTACAAATTTTCTATGATCATAGCTTACAATATATATATAGAAAGCTCTATGATTGTTTTTTATTTTATAAAACAATATATTATATAGAATGTTTTATTAGAAATAGAATTTTTTAACATTTCTATACTATTTCTGGAAAACTATTTTTGTGACAAACTAATTTTATTTTAAGACAATTTACTTTTAAATTTAAATTAATATTTACACTATAAAAGAATAATAATTTTCTATTTTTAATAAATGGTTTATAATTATTCACTTAATAATAATATGCGAAAATATTCTTTTATTTATTAATTATAAAATAGATAAATTTAAGCTTCTTTAATATTTTTATTATAAAACTATTTTTTGCTTGTTTATTACTTATATTTAGAATATTTATTATCATTATGGATAATGTTATAATAAATAAAATGATTTTATATAATTTCTTATACGCGCTATAAAAGAGAATTAAATAAATTTTAAAAAATGTTTGCTTAAGTATCACATAAAAAAAAGATTGCATAATTAGTTAATTAAATTAAAATCCTTTTTAACATTTTTTTGTAAGGTCTTTGATTACATTGAAGAAATTATAAAGGCAAAAAAATATATAAATATAAAAATATAATATACATAAAATAAGCAAAATCAATAAAGATTAATGCATGATTAACGCTAAATACTATTAATACCCTGATGTTTTCTGTACTGTTGTTGTTGACTTCGCTTCTCCCGCTGATTGTTCCTCAGGCCCAAGATAGCATCAATAGTAAAGGACTTTGCTTGTTGCTGCTGCTGCTGTTGAGAGTGCTGCATATGCGTGATTGAATGCGGATGCGGCACTTGCGTCGACAGGCTTTGCGCGGATAATTCCGTGCCTAGGAGATGCGAGCGTCTCATGCGCTCCAATGCTATGGTTTCGAGATCGGGGTTCCTTGGTTGTACTTGCAGATTCCTGAATTCCTTATGTTCTAGCATGCCCGGATTATTCTCTAGCAAACCAGCGCCGCCGCGCAGCCTTTCGAGGGCCAGACTGCTAATGTGGCTATCTCTCATTCTATCCAAGGAAAAATTAAACTCCTTCATGCGATCGAGACTGTAATTCTTGAGCAAACCAAAATCTTTCATTTCCTTTTCCACTACAAAATTGAGATCCTTGCTATATCTGTCTAAGGAGGATAACGACGCATGAGGACTCCTTTGCTTGGTTTCGCGTAAATTAAACAACACGTTCTTGGCGCTGGAATTTTTGGATCTGCAAAGCGCCGTCGTAGTATCTGACGATTCCTCGTTTTCGTTCAATCTGTCCAACGGATAATTGATTTCACTCAAGTTATTGGCAGAATAACCAAAATCCTTGTTTTTATTCAACGTCATAGTCAGATTTCTCGTTGAATTTTCGCATGAAAATTCATCGAATCGAAGGGATGTTCTGCCACCGCCTTCGAGACTAAGATGAAAATCCTTTGGTTCCGTTGATGCATCTTCTTTAGTTTTATCAATAGACAGATTCAGTTCTTTGATACGTTCATAACTTTGAAACGCTCTTAATTGCGATTCTGAATGGCTACTGTCGCTTATACAATCCGATAAGTCTTCCGCCGTTAACCTGCCCGACGGATCGTTCGTCTCCATTATAATTCTTGAAACTATTATTTTTCTTTAATATATACTCGTTACACGTTAATACTACGAATAATATTGTTCAAAGATTCAGTCTTTGATTCTTATTAACTATCTATTAAATTATTTTTCATTATTTCGTAAATAACATATTAATCTAATTTTAAGTTTATGAAGTAATTTGCAATGCAACAGTAAATTCGCGAATTTTGTTAAGTCATTATATTCGCGCAAATATTTATTACGAATATTTTTCTCTCTTTTCTCAACAATTGACTGAATAGTCCAATCAGTATTTCTTTTTCACCATAGTCAATAGTTTCATTCGTCACTATCAAAGTTATCGTCCAAAGAAATCACTTATATTTCTCATTAAACAAATTACGTCATTCTTTTCGTCACATTAGTTTCTCCCGCAATGTACAATATTAGAAAAATTAAAAGATTATTAAATCACTATCACAATCACATCCATTGTCGCTATTATTCCAGTGTAAAAAATAAATCGCTCACTATCACAATTTTTGTAGATTCACTGAATAATAATTAACTGTAATCACTCAACTTGTTGAATAATTGATGGATAAATATGATCGAAACGAAGGTGAAAGCGAGGAAGATGCAAAGACGCGAGAAGAAACCGTAGCAGTATCGAAAGACCGAATTACGAAAGCGCCTGCGACAAGATATGGTTGGACCGCGTTGGCGCTCCGCAGCATCCAAGGATAATGATGTCAAGCACGAGGATCACCGCTATCGGATAGGGTTGGCCAACGGGACCAAGGATATCCAGCTAATGATCCCGTACGTGACGAGGAGGGTATTCACCCGCCGCCTCATGAGCCCCCTCGCCCGCCTGCTACCCTTAACAATCAGTCGACCGTTATGTTTCACCTCCGCAACCCCCAAATGGACCGCAGGATACCCCCTCGTACGGTCAATATTTTTTCATTCGATAAGAGAAGGCCGGGGTGCGCGTCGTTCCCGGTCCCTGGTTGGCCGGATTCTGCCATCACCCCGTCTCTGAGACACGCCTACCACGAACATCGTGGGGGATATTTGCGGGGAGTCTGTTACTTTTTTCTACCTTCTATCTCTCGAGCCATCCAGCCAGCATCCACCGCCGCCGGCTCGCAACCCGTTCTTCCTCGTCGTCGTCCTGCAAAAGCATCCCCGTCCTTCCTCGGAAGTACCCATTAATAAGCTTTCGCCTAGACCGACGTAGCTCACTTTGAGATGCTCGCACCGACACCACCAAGCTTCCTGCAAGGCATACCTGCGAAGACGAGCGCGTGCGTGGGCGTAGTTAGCGCCTTGCCTCGACCGCTCGTGTCATACGGCAGCAGTGTCATCTGCGTCTAAGATCTTCCGGTAATTAGGTCCTAATGATGATGAGGTAGTTTAATTTTGTTCGGATGATCTTTCTTACCTCGTCTTGGATTGAGATAGTCTTCAGCATCGAAGAGTTCACTCGCTATGGATTATTGGGAGGAATTTCACGCAATTTATCTTGCGAAATTTCGCGCTGACTTGAGGAATTCTTGAGCTAATTACATGGAGATGGTACTATTATAATAAACGTAAATTAATTATAGAAAATTATTATAAAATAAAAACATAGAGAATATTTATTTTTAGAATTATTAACGCGCAAAATTGCGTATAAGCAAATACAAATAAGGAAATAAGTTGCAGCGTTTTTCCTATTTATTTTTCGTATGAAAATTTAAAGAAACTTATATTTAATTTATAGTAGAAATTTTAAAAGTATATATTTTTTTAACAGTACATTTTTTCTAAGGTACCCATTTAAAATAAAATATACAATCTTTAAATGCAAAAAGTAATATATTAAGGCGTCAATAATGTCTTAACATATGAAATTGGTCACATTCGAGACTAATAATAACTTAATAATGACTAGTCATTATTAATCCCGAATGCAACCAATTTCATATGTTCAGGTATTATTGGCGCCTACTGTACAAATGTAATATATATTTATGTGCAGCTTCTTTGTATAATTAAATTAAGATCGAGATACATGACAGTGACCATCGTTATTAACATATTCTAAAGATGTCGAGGTAAATAAGTTCTCCTTAATTGTCTCATGCCAATCTGAAACTTCATTCACAATCCCCTCATTAGACGTTGACGGGTATGCGGGAATTTCAGTACCTTGGAAAACCTCTAAGGAGGTTACACTCAAGAGCTTAATTACATCAAGATTTTACGTCATGTTGACTTCCTGCATACACAGTCTTATCTTCTCGTTGACATAATGACATGTAACGTCTTAATAATACATAATATTCTGTTTCAAGAAGAATTTATTGAACTAAATGTAAAAGATTTTATATTAAATTTATATTATAATATAATTGATATGCATATGATATGAAAAATATTAAAATGTATGATGAAATACTTTATACAAAATAATATATTTGTCCATGAAGTAATATAAAGTATTCCAACATTTATATTTTAATAATATAAAAATTATATTTACTGATATAGAATATATAATTCTATACACAATTCTATGTTATTAATAAATTCATATATTCTGTCTCTCACAAAGTAGGCGTATACATGAATAACACTCTTGATAAAAGTTTTATGTTCAAAAAGCCGTTATAAAGTTAAGATTGAGCTATAAATTCCAAATTTACTTAAGCTATTCTTTAACTATTTCACAAACCAGTTCGTAATTGCATCGTATATTATATTTCTTATTACACACAAACTTTGCTATACACTTTTATCAATGATTTTGGTATCAATAATCCTTGTTTTTCTTTTCTATTCATTTTTATAGCTCCAAAAAGATATCTATTTATTAAATGACAAAATTTGAAAAAGTATCTTGTAAATTTAATATTCATAAAATTAATTTAATTATGCGTATGTTTAAATTAAATTAAAAATTATTGAAGTAATGTTTTTTTAATTACTTTATCAAAATAAACAGATATAAATTAATAAATTGTGTCGCGTATAAATTATATCTTCCCTTAAAAACATATTATTATATATATTAAATTTGTTATTCAATTATATATAATTTCGACACATTTAAAATTATTTATATATAGTAATCCTTTTTTATTTTAGAAAATAAGAATTATATATCTAAAATCTTCAAGAGAGAACAACATCAGGTTAATTTCTCCACTGTCTTATTTTCACATCGCTGCCTAGTCTGGTAATTATCAGCTTTTAGATAAGAAGATTCCCTCGAGGAAAAGCAAAGGCAGGGTCAAATAAAATTGGCGACAAATGTATAAATTAAATGGTAGTCCGCGTCGTGGTAGGGGTTCGAAAGAATTTCTATTGAAGCTCGATACCCACCCTCTTGATCTCCGACCAAATGACTTGCGACTCACCCTTATTACGGCCTGAAATTTATCACGGAAATTTCGTGGAGTATTTTACCCGGATAATTGCTCCGCTTTATAAGAGCCACCCTTACGAGCCAATATATAAGACAAAGACGATCTAGCTTCTATTCGCTTTAGCAAATTTGATTCGATTGCAGGCAACTTAATACTTGAATAACAAATTTTCAATCTTATAACAAGAGTTTTCTTGATTCATATTTTATTGCAACCTATTAAAACTAAAATTTTTAAAAAATTGTGACTTATTTATTTGGAATTTAAAGTATATATATTTTTATTATGCCAAAGTTTCTAGTCAAGTTCAATTAAAAAGTGTATCGATAAAAGCACGATCAATTATGTATCTATTTACTTTTATATCTTATGCATATGTAAACTAATCAATTTTATAAATTATTTTATTTGCTAGAATAAAAAATATCAAAAAATTTAATTAAGAGTTAAATGTAAATACAGTCTACTTATTATTTCACATTTTAAAAGATAAATTGTACATTTAAAAATATCTCCTCCCAATTATAATAATTGAAATTAATGCATGCATGAAATTTTATCAAGATTGTATTGATAATTACATCGATAAGTCTGTCACCCACTCTTTCATTCACTATATGTACTAGTCACAATAACGAAAGGATCATTATCCAACTAAATATCAGTTTCTACGGTAAATAGTATACTATCTATTGTTTCCAAATTGAATCTGTATACGTATGATCTACAACCTAATCGTACGCTCATTGCCACATACGCATGGATGCCCGTGTAAAATTCGCGAACGCATAGTATCGTACGCATCCCCGCTTCGCTCCTTCCTTCCCTTTCCGAGTAGGAACGTAGGAACGTAGGTATTGCGATCGACACATACAAAGCAAGCTCTCTCTCCCTTCCTGGACTCTACAACATTCTGCTGCCTTACAGCCGACGCTACCATCCTCCCCGATCCCTCTTCACCGCCTTGGTTCCCCTTTTGCCGCTTCCTCCTCTTCCTCCTCCTCGTCTAGCTTTCATTCCACATGCGATATTAAAGCCAAGGCAATTAGCGGTGGGGGTTGTTGCGAGGGATGGCGAGGGAGTGCGACAGTTTCAGCCGGGTTTCGCAGTCATCCACCTGGTGGGGTTGTCTCGGATATGATTGGTTGTCAGCAGGGGTTAATCCCTGGGCCCGGCCACACCCCAGCATATCTCAATCCACCCCCGCGAATCCGACCGGCCGAGCTTTTCGCCCGGAATCCGCTGAAAACGAGGGTGAAAACGCAAGCGGCAAGAATATACCAGATATTTCCGAAGCGCAGGATAAGTCGAGCTCCTTAAGCTTGAAGGAGATAATTTCAGATAGATGATAATATTATTGGGCAGGAAAGACGGTAAGCGTATGCTTGTTTTAATGATGTAATAGTTTAGCATTTCATTACGCAAATGAAAAGTATGCGATTATTTTATAAAAAACTATACACCAAAAAAAGATTTAAATTTGGAATCTGCTGAAATATTATCTCTATTCTGGAAATATTAAAATATATAAATAGAATGAAACAATTAATTACTTAAAAATACTTACTTAAATAATTATTATTATCTTACATTATTAGTTTTCTATAACAA